CTAAAACTCAAATCGGATTACATACCAGATCACCAGATTTACCAATTCAACCACGGATCCGGATCGAGTTTCAAAACACAATACAAGTGTATAGCTATACAATATTACAAATTTAATATAACTATCAAAACCTCGTACTAATATTTTTTTTTTAAAATGGTATGCACATATATGATTAAAAAAACATAAAAATTAAATTTTTAGAAAAAATTAAAACAAAAATATACCTGCCCTTTCAAAGGACGGGTCAAAATCTAGTTTTTATTTAAAATATAAATAATTATTATATGGGCTTGCAAAAGTGACTCCTCCAAATCAAACACAAAACTTACCGTTTTTGTACATTTCATTTGGCCAATCCACCCCAAAAGTTCTGATTATTCACGAAATGCCATTGTTTTTATTTATTTATTTTCTTTTGAAAATGAGTGTTTTACTCTCTCATCCTCATCTTCATCAATTAATCACGAAAATGTCATTACCATCAATTCATCCAACAACCATGAACAACCAAAATGAAACTCTCAATGCATCTAAAAACGAAATTTACTCATTCATTCTCATAACTTATGCCCAAACACTTCATCTCTCTCACTTTCTAGCTCTATTCATCCATAAAAATCCAAGTTCTTTTTATTCTAAATTTTTTAAGGGTCATATAACCATTCAAGCTCACGATTCCATGTCATTAATGATTGAGTAGTTGTTCTGGTGAAGTTGTGTGTGTTTGAGGAACTAAGCAAGTTCTCTCAGTAGTTGAAGGTATGAATTGTTTTTTTTTTCCAGATCTTTTCGCTGAAGTAAGTCTTCGTAAGTCTTCACAAGTCTTCCTAGACTGTCGTGGAAGTTTTCCAATTTTCTTTGTTGGCAATTGACCAATATGTGTCAGAAATTTGACTTTCTGCAGGAAAACTTATCTGGAAATCTTCTCAACCTTTAAATTAAGTCTACTCGATATCGCCGGAAGAGAAAGTAGGTTACTTTTCGAATTAAAAATTTAAACTTAAAACATTTAACTTAAATTGGAAGATTTTCAGGTAAGTCTTCGGCCCATGTAAGTCTTCTGGCTGAAGACTTACCTAGAAATTTTCCAGATAAAACTTACCTGGTCAAACCTAAGTTAACCAAATAAGACTTACATGTAAGTCTTCTGGTGGAAGACTTCCAGCTAAGTCTTCCGGTCTCTCGAGTAGACTTACTTTAAAGGTTGAGAAGACTTACCTGAAAGTATTCCGTAGAAAGTCAAATTTCTCACACAAATTGGTCAATTGCAAAACTAACATGTTTATCCGAGAAGATTTCCAGGTAAGTCTTCTCAGGCATTTTCGAGAATTTTTGTATTACAAGTCATCCTTTGCATATTTTCAGTTGCAAAACTGACCTAAACGGAAGACTTACTTGGAAGTCTTCCGCCAGAAGACTTACCTGAAAGTATTCTCCGGGAAGACTTCCAGGTAAGACTTCTACGATAATGTATAATAAACTTTCATTTTCTTCAAATTTAAAATGAATTCTTAAGATTTTATTGTTAATTCATGTGTTTTAGACAATATTTATGGTCCTGGATGAAATTCATAACTTAATTATTGATAATTATGAAGTTATCAACCTTCATGTTTTTTAATGTTTCTAGCTAATGATAGAAGACTTTTGTGGAAGTCTTCTCTTAGAAGACTTCCATAAGTTTTCCACATTATTTTTTTTGTAAACTTGTATTTTTAAGAATTTTCAATAATTTAAGAAAATTGTTTTAACTTTCAAAAGTTTTAAATTTCAAGAAGTATATAATGTGTACATGAAAATGAAGTTGGAAGAGTTAACCAACTCACGATATCTTAGTTGTTTATAATTCCAAAATTTATTGGTTTTACTTTTTACAAGACTTTGTTGGTATTGGAGATCCAAAGATAAGAAAAACTACACGATGAACATCATGTTTTGAATTTGAAGACCAATGAAGTTTTTTTTATTTCCTTGATTTGTAAAAGTGGAAAATACATTGTTAGCACATATCTTACTTCTTGTTTACTTTAACAATGTCAAGTGATTTTTGACAATAAACATATTTACCATATTTTTTATTAATATTCCTTCAAGTTTACAAAAAAAAATCACAAGTAAAGAGTACACATACAAATCACAAACAAACCACAAATAAAACTATTATAGATCATTCCTCCATAACGACATTCTTGGACTCCACTTGATATGAGAGAAGATTTGTTAGAAGATTTCCAAGAAGACTTTAAGACTACGTCAGAAGACTTAAGACTTCGCCAGAAGACTTAAGACTAGGCCAGAAGACTTAAAGCTACGCCAAAAGACTTAAGACGACGTCAGAACACTTAAGACGACGTCAGGAGAATTAATACGACGTCAGAAGACTTTTTAGGAAAGTCTTCTGTAAATCTTCCAATGTCTGTCTCAGATCTGGAAAAAATCTTCATATCCAAAAACGTTCAAATGACATCAAAACAGAGAAATTTTTCAAAAAAAAATGTTTTAAGCTTCAATAATATCTAAACAATCACATTATGTTGAATCTATAACTTATTAGAATCTAACATATAAAAGACACAAAAATACATATAAACAATTTATAGACCTACTCTTAAATTAGTGAAAGATGACAATTATGTAATGAAAAACCTGCAAAAACAAGAGAAAAATAGGGAGAATCACATAAAAATGAGAAATTTATTTAATTTTTGGGGTTTTCATATTTAAAGAGAATAAAAAGAGGTTGGAGAATTTTAGTTTGGAAAAAGATAAAAACTGTATGCAATAATAAAATACTAAAAGAAAACCCACACATGAAAACTTACCAAAACGCTAAGATCTATTGTGAAAGAGGAGACATGGAAGAAGAATACACTAGAAGACTTAAGACGATGCCAGAAGACTTAAGACAACGTTAGAAGGCTTAAGACGACGACGTCAGAAGACTTAAGACGGCGTGGGAAGACTTAAGACGACGTCAGAAAACTTAAGATGACGTTAGAAGACTTTCAGGAAAGTATTTTGCAAGTCTTTCAATGTCTGTCTCAGATCTGGAAAAACCTGCATATCAAAAAACGTTCAAATGACATCAAAACAAAGAAAATTTCAAAAAACAATGTTTTTAAGCTTAGATAATATCTAAAACAATCACATTATGTTGAATCTATAACTTATTAGAATCTAACATATAAAAGATACAAAAATACATATACAAATTTATAGATCTACCTTTAAATGAGTGAAAGATGACAACTATGTAGTGAAAAAACTGCAAAAACAAGATAAAATAGTGAGAAACACATGAAATGAGAGATTGATATAATGTTTGGTGTTATCAAATTTAAATAGCTTAGGGAGAGGTTAGAGAATTTTAGAGTGAGAAACAGTACATTTTTGTTTCCTCCATTCGCAAGGAAAAAAAAGAATGTGTAAAGTTGTGTTTATATATGAAAAAAAATTTCAATTAGGTCAAATATTTTTGATACAGAAGACTTATATGAAAGTCTTCCAAGAAGTCTTCTATACCCTAAATTTACTATTCGCCCAGAAGACTCACTATTCGCCCAGAAGACTTACTATTCGTCCGAAAGACTTACTATTCCCCCGAAAGACTTACTATTCCCCCGGATGACTTACTAATCACCCAAAAGAGTTATTTTAGGTGGGAAACCTAAATTCTGTTGACATTTTAAGCGGGAAACTGTGGTTAAGTTATCCAAAGTCTTCTAGATCATTATATTTTCAAAATTTTAAGTCTTCCAAAACCCCAAAATCAAATATTTAATTAAATCACATATAAAAACTGTATTAAACTTAAAATTAATTTATAAACTGTTTAATATACACAAAAATAAACACATATAGATAAAATTTCGTTTTTTTTAAAAGTAAAGATTCCACAATCTAACCCTAAAAACACATACAATACTATAACATAGTTACCAAACCCTAAACAAAAGAATATCATGACTAACTTACATTCATTCAGCTATGTTGAAAACTATTCAATTTTTGTAAATTTAAATTTACATCATTTATAAATGTCAATAATTACATAATTTGGTTTTTTAATAATCAAAATATTTTTCTAAAATTTATAAATTATTTTTAAGATCTAAAGCATGAGAAGAATTTTAGGTAAGTCTTCTCACTCGCAAGGTTAAAATGGTAAACTACAATCCTGCTTTATTGTTTGGTCATGAGGGGAAGTTTGTAATTTCATTAGCTTTTTTTCGAGCTATTTTTTTTCTTAAATAATAATTCAAAGTTTATGCAAAAATTTGAAGGTATTTGGTGGGAAATTTTAACTTTTTAGTTTGGTGGGAAATTTTAACTTTGCAAGATAAATCGATTAGGTAATTTTAGCGAGAAAACTTGATTTTGAAATTTTGACGAAAACATATGACTTGCAAAATGTAAGAGATTATATTTATAATTGTGTTGCCTCTCAAATTCTCAAAATACATATTGATAAAATTTCTGGGGCTTTTACTTCTGGCTGTGGATAGTAGCTGGTTGATAGACACACATAATTTCTCTCTTACTGCATGTATAATAACAGAGTTGATTGTTTTGAAATTTTCATTTGCTGTAATCGTCATTATCTTTGACAATTACTATATATAAACTTGAACACATGTCAAATCATCATATGATTAATACAAACAGTATGCTTCTATCTCTAATTAAATTTAAATATTTCATTTAAATTATAAATTTTTATCTCCATATAAAATTATCTTACTATATATATGATGCAGATAACAATATAAGACTGAAAGTGATATTTAAACCATATACACATACTTCCCCCCACCCCCCACCACCACACAAAAATAAAATATCTGACAATCTTGGTCACCATTCCAAATCTAAAGTTTGGTAAACTTGGCTTGAGATGTAGTTCTATAATCCCTATAAAGGAACACTTATTGTGAGAGTTAAAACCAAACTCTACCTATCTTATCTAGCTTCAGTCTCTCAATTAATTAACAACAATAATGTCAAACCATCTTCAAGGGCCCGTACCCACTTACCCTAAACAGGTTTTAACCAAAGAAGAAGAGAACATGGTGAGCTTGCAAGCTGAGAGTATAGTGAACACTGTGGCTTTCCCTATGGTTCTTAAAGCCGCCTTGGAGCTTGGCGTCATCGACACCATCACTGCTGCAGGCAACGACGCGTGGCTTTCACCATCGGAGATAACGGCCAGTCTCCGAACCAAACCGAAGAATCCCGAGGCGCCGGTCCTGCTGGACCGGATGCTGCGATTACTCGTCAGCCACTCGATGTTGAAGTGTCGAATAGTTGAATGCAGAGAAAACGGTCGAACCGGAAATATGGAGAGGGTATATGCAGCCGAACCGGTTTGCAAGTATTTCGTGAAAGATAGTGACGGTTCTGGTTCTCTCGCGTCTTTGTTCATCATGTTCCATGACCAAGTCATTTTTAAGACTTGGTAAGTGCTTCAGTGATGTATCTTACTTATTTGTAACCTGTTATTGGTCAGCTAATTAAACCGATTCACATAAAATTGGTTCTATTAAAACCTAAAAGTAAATGAAAAGTTAATTAAAAAAATAAAATTCATAGGACAAATCTCAAGGATGTGATACTAGAAGGAAGAGATGCGTTCAGAACTGCACACGGCATGAGTCTTTTTGAGTACATTAACTTGGACGAACGGTTCGGTGAGTTGTTTCACCGGGCAATGTCGGAATCTTCCACTATGATCATGAAGAAGGTTCTAGAAGTTTACAGAGGTTTTGAAGGTGTTGACACTCTAGTGGATGTTGGAGGAGCAAATGGCACCATATTAGGTTTAATCACATGCAAATATCCTCATATCAAGGGCGTTAATTTCGACCTAGCTCAAGTTTTAACCCATGCTCCATTTTATCCAGGTACAAAACTAAATAAATCTTATAATATAAAGTTTTGAAATGGAGTGCTACTTTTTGTAACCTCTTAAACTTGTAATGTCACTAACTATAGGAGTTGAGCATGTCTCAGGAGACATGTTTATAGAAGTTCCAAAGGGAGATGCCGTCTTTATGAAAGTAAGTTACATAAAAGTTTTTCAATTTTTCTTATTAAAATAAGTCACACAATTTTTTTATATATAACTTTTGAGCTCTTCGAGGTTATTGAAGTATCGTTTCTGATATTAAATGGCTAAATTATTGGTAGTGGATATTACATGATTGGGCGGACGAACATTGTATAAAGATTCTAAAGAATTGTTGGAAGAGTCTACCAGAAAAAGGGAAAGTGATCATTGTGGAGAGGGTTACACCAACAGAACCAAAGGGTGGTGACCTTTTATCTGAAACTATGTTCGCCACGGACCTGCTAATGTTGACACAATGTTCGGGTGGTAAAGAGAGATCCCTTTCAGAATTCGAGAACTTAGCATTCGAGTCAGGTTTCATTCGATGTGAAGTCATTTGTCCTGCGTATTCATATTCTGTTATCGAGTTCCACAAATAGATGTGGCACTTGGAAAATAAAAAAATGATTGGGTTGGTAGTCTGAAATCAAGATTGCGGGCTAAAAATCTTATAATGAATAAATTGTGCATTTTTTATTTGATCATGACCTTTATTGCATGCAGTAATGTTTTATCAAAATAGTAACAAGCCTGTTTCAGTCCGGCTATACACTATCAAATCCTATAAAAAAATGTTGCTTCCAGCCGAATATAAATCAAGGCCGGCATTGTTCTTAGCTTATATCCTAACCCAGTTATACATAAGACATAAAAACTATATGTTCATCTCTTTACGATATGCATCATATATTGAACTCGATAATATTATCCAACCCTCTTCCAACTTGAGGAAGATGAAGATTTCCAATATACGACTTGTCCAATAATTCTTATAATTGTACCTGTCTGAATGTCTTTGTCAACACAGCTGTCAATAAATCATTGCAAAATAATAATGATATATGTCGTTTTAAGTAAGGATAAGAAAAGACATTAATGGTAGCTGAATCATTGCAATACAGAAACAAAAAAGTTGGACGTAAATTTTCCATACCCCATCAGCTTTGTCTTTGGCTATTATTATGGTCATTTATCTTCTTCAGTTTCCGCTCCATTTGTATATAATAACCACTAACACATATAGAGTGCTTCATGGTTATATACAGAGGACTGGACCGCGTGCGTAGCTATTTTGTTCATATTGGAATCTAATCACGAAGCTCTATGAGTATACGTCGCAAGACCTAAATCATCAACCACCACTCCTCCCTCTACATACGCGGTTAATCATAATATACAATTATACATTTTCAACAACGACAACTAAACATGTTTTTTTGGTTAATTCCTATGGTCTACAGATATATTTTTAATACACCAAAAAGGATTAGATATGCATGTTATTTACCATCAATTTACAGTATAAAATGGCACAAGGCATGGATGTTGAAACCAAGCCTCGCTTTTCCATTGCTTACATTGTTATCTACCTATCTTCTCCGTTTTCAACCAATATCAACTAATGGCAAACCAACTTCAAAAGCCCTTTAAAGCACAGATTCTACTCATTGGAGTCCTTAAAATGTATATATATATATTATGTGGATATAGTTGTGGGGTCTATTATTTTGTGGAGAACTCCTAAAAGTTTTTAATAGAGAGATTTTAAAAATCTTTATGATGAGGTTTTCTACAAAATAGTGGATCCTACAATTACATACACATATATATATATATATATATATATATGTGCATTTTAAAAACTCCAATGAGTAGAACTTCCATTGGAAGTGCTCTTAAGCCCTTCTCATAAACCGGTTCTGACCAAAGAAGAAGAAAACAACAAGATTCTCAAGAAATGGTGGCCTTCCAAGCCGAGAGGATGCATGGTGTACTCCTTGACATTCCCAATGGTCTTCAAAGCTGTGTTGGAGCTGGGAGCCATCGACACGATAGCTACCGTTGAGGACGGCGTGTGGCTCTCGCCTTCCGAGATAGCGTCTCGTCTCCCTACTAAACCCACCAACCCTGAGGCTCCAATGATGCTGGACCGGATGATGCGGTTACTCGCTAGCCATTCGGTCTTGAAATTGGAGAGAACGACCAAAACCGGAAAGATCGAGAGGGTATACGCAGCTGAACTGGTTTGCTAGTTTTTCTTGAAAGCTAGTGACGACTCGGGTTCTCTCAGATATCTCTTCATGTTCTGCCATGATCACGTCATTTTCACGTCTTTGTACGTACTATAGATTATTAAGTAAGAGAATTCACAATGGTGGACTCCATTGTTGGAGTCCTTAGCCATTAATTAATTTTTTTTTTTGAATAGTTAAGAACTCTAAACAAAAAATCCAGTCCAATGGTGGACTCCATTTTGGAGTCCTTAAGAAATTTTTTTTTTTTATTAAAAATGAGAAATTAAAATTTTTATTAATTACATGATTAAATAAGACAAGATACAATAATTATTAAACTTCAACACCAAAGATTCCGATTAGAATGGACCGAAATGGAACGGAAAACACACAGAAACAAACTTACAACGTCACTAAGGATTTGATCCTTAAAATCCTTACTCAAGGATTGATCCTTACCAAACTAAGTTTAAATTCTATTTTTTAATTTTAAAAGCACTAAGGATTGGGGGCTAAAGACTCCCTAATTCAACCATTGCAGCTGCTCTAAGGAGTTCAATTTTTGTCAAGTTAATTTACATAATTTCCTAACTAATATTTTTTCTATAGGTCATATAAAGGAGGTTATATTACAAGGAACAGATGCATTTATTTCTGCCTATGGCATGAAGTCTTCGAGTACATTGCTTCTGATGAACAATTCGCTGAGATGTTTAGCCTTTACATTCAAAGGCAATCCCTTTCTCTTATGTTATTAGAAAAAGACTCAATATTTTCTTTTTTTAAAACCCTAGGTGATGGAATTCACTTTTTTTCCTTTCTTTCATGATTACATTTTTATTTGCAAACGTGATTCGAATTCATGTGCAGATACCTTAGCTAAATTTTCACTTACAAGTAATCATGTATGAGGGTGTCTATCACTCATGTCCTCTGTTTTTACAGGATGTTGTGATTTTTGATAATGATTATATAATTCGATTCAGCCCCCACAAAAAAATAACAACAGCTCTCATTTAAATTGTATCAGAATGAAAGCCAAAAATGAAGATTCAAATAAAACCTCTTCGTCTCTGTTCTTTCTATAAAATGCTGCTTGAAAAAGAAAAAAACGAAAAAAAGAAGATCTTCTATGATCACATCTTTTTGGTTGTTAAATATTTTCGATCAATAAATCGACCGTCGACTTTCGCTTAGTTGGATGTACTTTCGCTCCTTGACAAAGAATCAAGCATTCCACTAGTCACTGTCTTAGACAGTGATTCAAGCAACCACCCATGTGTTGAGCAATTCTTGTCCTGCTTACTCAGGTAAAAGTTTTTAACATCATTCTTATAAATGTTTTGATGTCTTCTATGACCAAGGCCCGGTCTTGAGCATAGGTAAACCGGTTGTTTAGACTATCACAAATATTTAAAATGTCAGATCACCGGCATGTGATCTTCTGGTTTTGATGGGTAATAATGTTTTGATAATTCATCGTTTTGGTTGACCAGATTGAATCATCGATGAAGAACTTCAAGGTTACATTCTCTTTTACAGAAAACCTCAGCTTATTCCAGCTGAGAACAACGAACCAGTAATGGTTGTTGTAGCTGAGAGCCTTGACGACGTAGTCTTCAAGTCTGGAAAGAATGGTGAGCAACATTTGACAACTCTTACAAATACTTATATTGATCTTCTTACAAAACAAAAACTGATAAAGACATCCATGAGTTCTGTGCACCGTGGAGTGAACATTTCCAAAAGCTTGCCCGTATCTTGGACGAAGTGACTTTAGAGTGGCAAAATGACTCAAGTGTGAGCATAGCAAAATTAGTCCGCCTCTATTTATTTTTTCCGTGCTACATGTAAAATCGTTTTGATAACCCTAAAATCTGTCGGTGTACATGAGCAGTGTTCTAAAATCGGTATTTTCCAAACCGATATTTTAAAATTTGGTTTTGGGGTTCAAAAAATCGGTCTAGATATCCACCTAAATGATAATCTTCTATAAAGCGCCTCCTAACGATTTAAGAACATTGACAGAAAGCAACAAAAAATGATATCCCAAGTGAACCCTTTGACGTGAAAGGCTTCCCGACTAATTACTTGAGATCAGCTAGTGGAAACGTTATAGAGTACGAAGGAGACAGGACAAAGGAAGACATCATCAGCTTGATTAATTAATAAGAACAAGGCAACAACTTCACATGGTGCAGAGACTACTACAACTAGCACTAAGATTTAGGAGCCTAAGAAGACCGAGGAGTCGACCGCAAAGGAAGAGCTGTAAATAGTAGAAGCTTTGTTATTATTCTCCCAATCTATGTTTTTTTCTTAATATAAGAAATAAAATTTATATTTTTCATTTTGAAAATTATTATACATCAGTTGCAATTTTAAACAGATCTTGATCCGCACGATCGTGCGAGTTTTTTAGAATACTAAAAATGTTGTAGGTTATAAAACAAAATTTATCAATATATTAATCTATTTTGATGTTATATATTATCTAATTTTATAATCATGTTTTGTGGCTTATAATATTATTATTATAAAATTTATAAATTTGTATTTTGTAACATTTTTTAAAAAAACATTATTATGTAAAAATACTATTTTAAATCTTTTTGTTTTATTTCTAAATTTGAAATATATGTGGAAGTTAAATTAAGTTGGACCTACATAATAGAGAATCAAATATACTGTTAAAATTATTTTACATAGTTTTAGTTTATGTTTTAAATCACAAATGAATTAAATTTTTAATTATAATTTATGATAAAATTTCAGTTAACAAATTTTCGAAAATATCTTTTAAAAAGATTTTAAAAG